TTATGGAAATCTTAGACCTAGTCAATACTGTGGAGATATACAATTAGAATGATCAATCAATAAACTGGTGAAACAAACAGAGTTGTCTTTCTGGATCTTTATTCGAGGCGCCTCGAAGGCACAAGTCTCACAGAGTACAGGGTAGTCTGCAGGAGTGTGCGCAATAGTCACAGAATAGCAAAGCTTATATACAAGATAGGGCGGGCAGACAGAGTTTTTGTGTAGCACGGCGGAACGCCTCAGAAATCTGCTTTCACACGGATGTCTCATATTGTTATTAGACACCTGTGTCGTTGAGCTGTAGAAAGTATGACGGTTATCAGAATATGGAAGTTCAAACTTTGTGTGAAGAGGAGTAGTTTCAACATAGTCTGCCAAATCAGCTCTGTGGCCTTGAAGCGCTTAAGAATAATAACCCTCATTAGAGTATGCACAGAAAACAGCATACAGTATATCAGGAAATGGTACAGTAGTGTTAGAAAATGCTTTTAGAAGCATTTGGTTTTAGCATATAAGGTAACATAAGAAATTGCCACAACAAGGCTTACACATCTCACTGAAGGCTAGAGTAGAGTTCTTCAGTCACCGCTGGAGAATCTTTATACAGTATACAGTCTTTTTGGAGAACGCACCATCCATTAGCCTGTTAGCATTAGCATGTGAATAGGACCCAGCATGCACCTGTTTGTTCCAAGCATCTTATGTGTGTTTGGTTTTGACTACTTATCGAGTTGGCGTGGCGCGGTGGTGCTTTCAATTAGGGATTTTAACCTATGCTTTTAAACCATAATTACATTTAATGACACCTAAATATCAAAAAGAGTAGTAGTGCAAGAGTTAAGCTGTCCTATAAGACTGGGTGGATGTGGTATTGATAGACACAGTAGACTACATTCAAAACTTCCTTTACGTAAACAAAAAAACAAGGCAATTCAAGTTTAGTTAGAGCACATTTCAACAATAAGCCATTATCCTACATAAAAAAACATCAACGCCTGGGCAATAGGACCAAATTGTAAGATGTAATTGTAAAGCAGTCATTAGAAAGACAAGAAAATGAAGAAAATAGGGTAGGCCTATAAAATACAATTATAAAAGGTACCACACTTTTTTTTATTTAGTAGAAAGCAACGTGAAACAGAAAAGCCTTGATTTAAAAGAAGTGAAAGTCGCAACTGGCTTGCAGTTTTCTGTGAGTTTGTTCCAAATGTATGGTGCATGAAAACTGAACACTGCTTCTCCATATTAAGTTTTGAAGGCTGGCATTGACCTGTTGACCCAAGACGTCTGGATTGTTCATAATGTATCCAAGTCAGAAGATTATAAATGTATTTTAGCCCTAAACCATTCAGTTCTTTATAAACCAACAGTAATATTTTGAAGTTGATTATTTTAAAGACAGAAAGCTAGAGTAACAACCTCAGTAGGGGAGTGACATGAAGGTTAAATAATGGAAACACTGACAGAAACAGTAAACGGCAATCTCATAGCTGACATGAGCTGAACAAACTCTCAAAAGAGTGGAAAAATGTATGTCCCTGAGTGAGCTATTCTTAGTAGTGATAACTGTGAGACTGACACAGTTGGATACACACACACACACACACGCACGCGCGCATGCACGCACGCACGCACGCACGCACGCACGCACGCACGCACACACACACACACACACACACACACACACACACACACGTACTATCAGTAGATGGGGCCACATGGTATAAAAGAGTAGTGTGCAGTGCAGAAGGTTTCAGGAGACCGCAGACATGCTTAAGTTCCTTTTGTTTACCTCCCTCGCTGCCTTGGGTAAGAAGTGCCTGATTCTTCTTCTTCCTTGACATTCTTTACACACTCTTCGTTGGTGTCTGACTGTAACGCTTCCTGTGTCTCTGCTTTATTCAGTGCTGGCTGAGCGTAGACCAGAGCCCAGGTATCTGGAGGATGACAGCGTCAATGAGAGAGTTGTGGGAGGCGAGGTGGCCAGACCCAACTCCTGGCCCTGGCAGGTACCCTTAACTTGTGTGTTCCTGTTAATAAAAAAAAACAGTTTGACTGTCATATACTAATATATATTAAAAAAAGATTAAAAGAAAATCATGTTTTTAACCTTTTTCTTTCTTTTTTAAAAGTGAGCATCTGTGGTGAAAGTAGAATTCCAGGTCCTTAGAGAAGATACGCTATATATATTTATTTGTTTTGTCTTATGCTCACAAGTTAAAAGGAATTAATAGTATTTTATCTTATTTATTTTTGTTTTGGGACACCTCTATTATGAACTCCTACATGAACATGTCTAATAATCCGCAAAACTAAAAACATTTGAATTGTAAAACCTCTGATCCCTAATAATGCATACAATTTAATTGTCAAGTTGATCATATGTTTCATACATATATTCAAAAACAAGTAACTATAGCTGTTTTTTTTTGTTTAATAACACCTGTGTTGGATTGCAAGGCTTTTTATCTATACAATTACATCTTATTTATAAGTTTGGTCATGCTGTATGTTTCGCATGCAAATTCAGTAACGCATTATTTAAAAATAAGTTTAGTATTTCGGTAAATGTATTTCACTTTTTTCACCACTGTTTTATAGCCAGATTTCAAATGTAAAATAAATCAGCACAATATGTTTTGAGACTTGTGAATGCCTTAAAGCATTTTCAGTGTTGAGAACGCTGCCAAGAAGCACATTGCTTTAATCTGGATAGTTCAGCTTCTTGTAGTTGTAATGCTCTCTGTTGTCACTTTTTTTAGATCTCTCTTCAGTTCAAATCTGGTAGCAGCTACCGCCACACCTGTGGAGGAACCCTGATCAAGAGAGGATGGGTGATGACCGCTGCTCACTGTGTGGACAGGTGGGAGATTCCAGAAAAGCTGCTGAGCATAAAAATAACAGATATAAGATTGAAGTAGCAGGTTGTGGGTTCTCACAGTGCTGAATATTTCTTAAAGTGAATAGCCTAACATTTTGGGTTGAAATTAGACTGGGAACTTTGGGTTCTTTTCAGCCATTCAAATATTAATGTTTTGTACGTCCACAGTTCCAGGAATTGGCGTGTTGTTCTTGGAGATCACAACATCAACTCCCATGAGGGCTCTGAGCAGTACATGAGCGTGAGCCGTGTCCACATCCACCCTAACTGGAACTCCAACAACGTTGCTGGAGGGTTAGTGTCTATAACTCATGATGTGACCTACAAATATCACATTCTGATATATGTACAGTGCATATTAATGCAAAAACAGAGTGCATTGAGTTACTTATAAACCTATTAAAGTAACAAATATTGTCAGATGGATTTTTTCTGCTATGTAATCTTGGATATACTAGCTACATTATGTGGACATAAAATTGTAATATTTACAAAATTAAAAATCCTGACTTTTTACTCAAAGTCATGACCTCTGGCGTTTGATAACTGTAATCATGAAATGAATTCATAAAATAATTGAGAGAATAACCTGCAGATTAATCAAAAATGAAAACATTTTGAGTTGCACCCCTCAACATAACAATCACATCTTGAAATCAAAATATCCTTCTCTGAAACAAAACCATTACATTAAGGAGAAAATATGTCTAACTCCTTGTGGACATGCTGGTCTGACCCTCAGGTGGGACATCGCTCTCCTGCGTCTGTCCACCGAAGCTTCTCTCAACAACAAGGTCCAGCTCGGCGCCCTGCCTCCCTCCGGTCAGGTCCTACCCAACAACAACCGTTGCTACATCTCTGGATGGGGTCGCACCGCGAGTGAGTGGGACACAATGACACAAGTGCATGATATAACCAAGTTTGGCACTTAAACACAGCAAGAAAGACATCTGTAAATTACATTGCTTTTAAAAGAGATATATGTTAGTGTAGTTTTTATTCTATTTTAGGCATTATCACGGTTGTGACAACAGATGTGTTTCTCCTCAGCTGGAGGTCAGCTGTCTGCCCAGTTGAAGCAGGCCTACATGCCCATTGTTGACCACAGGACCTGCTCCGGCTACGGGTGGTGGGGCAGCACCGTGAAGGACTCCATGGTCTGTGCCGGTGGTGGAAGGGAATCTGGTTGCCAGGTAAGCCTACGAGGTCTTAGACAGGGCTGTGTATGCCCTTACATTCAGTATTTATTTTGTTAGAATACTTAACTATGATTTGCACTCCTATAATAATGTCAATTTTAAAATAAACAATTGATACAGGATGTGGATAGAGTTCTGGTGAAAGAGAGTATAGGCGCTGCAAAGACATGCAGCAAACGGTCCGTGAATCAAACTGAGTTCTTGATGCATGTGCAGCAAGTACCGGTATACCGGTATATTGGTTAGCCACGATGAACAATTTGGAAAGATGTTAGCTTTTATATTTTATTCAGTCTTCTTCCTTGTAAAAACCTGGTGTCGACATTGCCCAGCCCGCCGTCAGCAGGTCAGTCGTAGATTTGGGTGTGTTATGCCAGGGGTGTCTAATTTAGCTTTGAGTCTGTAGAATTGATCGCACTTTAGGCAGATTCCTCAAGAGACACAAAATACTTTTTACATCTTTTTTCACCAGAACACTGAAAAGAACGTGTGTCAGAATTCAGTCCCACTCCTATGTGGCAAAGTGAATTTCAACATCCCCCACTGAGTGTAGCCTGACCCCTTCCTGTCAAAGAAGAGATTTTGGATGACTTGTGGGATTACTTGCTGCATCAGCAGGGGCATAAGTCAGTTTGAATGATCCGGGCTAGTGCTTAAGCTGCACAGTGTCAAAGTATTGCAAGTTCATGCTGTGCCAAAACTTGTTTGAGGCTGCTTTAGATCAGGAGGGGATATGAGAAACAAGCTCCACCGAGTTGAGTGCATTGTAAAATGGGGTGTTTTCTTCAAGCTCTGCGAAAAAGGTTATGGATTTCGCTGCTGAGGTTTGTCTGTGGTGTTTTTTATCTGACTCCAGGGTGACTCCGGCGGCCCCCTGAACTGCAGCATCAACGGAAACTGGGTTGTCCACGGTGTGACCAGCTTTGTGTCTTCCTCTGGCTGCAACGCCACCAAGAAGCCCACAGTCTTCACCCGTGTCTCTGCCTACATCGGCTGGATGAACGGGGTCAGTATTTAACACTAACATATTAATCTATATTTCAATAAAAACATCTCAATGTTAGTTACACATCATTTAAGTTATAGTACTTTGTTTATATGTCCACTTTATGCAGTACCTGTAGTATTTATACGTCTTTTTTATACATTCATTCATCCTTACAAGTATATCTATGTGTGCAGCATCTTGCGTGGATTATTATTGATAACCACATGATTGATTTGTCCTTGCTTTGCCAGATCATGGGTTGAGATGGAAAACGATCTCCATGGAGACGAGAGCTCACTCCGGATTCATCTCATTGTCAGCACGACTCCATCAGTATTAAAAGTCATACAGTGTGCATTTTACTCGCTTCATTTTTTGTGGTGCATATAAAGATTTATAAGAGCAAAGTTGAGTTAAACTATAATTTAGAGGCAGAAGATCTATTCAGAGAGCTATGAGTCATTTTTCATATCCGGAAGTTTGTGTGAGAAGACATTTGGATACTCAATTTAATTCCAATCCAAACCAGTTAAACTGTCGCACATAGGGATAATTATATACCGCTTTCATTGGAGCAGTTGACATTCTTTAGAAACGTTTTTTATTGCCAACGGTAAACAGACTGTGATAAATTCCAACATGGCTCATTTAACAAGTTAATAAAGACACATTACCCTGTTAACAACTAAGCTGTTGTGCAACACGGAAAAGGCTCGAAACAAAGTATAACATTAACTGTGAAAATACAATCAAATTAAAGTTAACATTTAACAACATTTTGTAAAAGGAATAAGTCTTAGAAAGCAAACTATTAAAAACCCTTGTATATATATAATTCATAATTGCACAGATGTGTTTATCATCATATTCTTACAATCAACAACATAACAAAATAATAAACTGAGCTACAGCATCTGCATACTAGTGTGTTATGTGGACCCAAACTATAATTTGAGTTTATTAAATTATAGAAGTATGAATTAGGTTCTTTGAAATAATTGAAAATCACACATCTCTAACTGACATCAATATTTCAGACATGCTTACTGCACACAATGATATCTTATATATAAGAGGGCCACATGGATGGAAATATTAAAATGTACACCTTTAGCTCTAATGCAGTGTATTCTTAAGAGTGTGCTTTATATTGTGCTTTATTCGGGATTCCTACCAGAAGCTCATAGAAGCGCACATTCAGAATAATATGCAGCCTCTAAGATGGATGCCCTAAAAAATATTCTTTAAATGTGTGAACCTGTTTGTCAAATCAGCTCCAAATCAAAACCTAGAAAAATCCCCTTGGCTCTGTAAACAATAGATCTGTTTCAATCTGTGGTTAAAAATATATCAATCTGCACAAGTCTCAGAGGGAGGAGAGAGCTGTCAGAAAAGATGAGCTAGAATTTAGATGAAAACATCAAAAGGGGGAAGAGAAGCACAACATGATCCCACATAAGATAAAAAACATGCACGTAAATAAACAAGATAACAGAAAACCCCAAGCAAATAAATATGACACTTACATATATCTGTATACTTAGACAATTTGCCCTTTCGGAGATAAACTCTAAGTCAAAAATCCTAAAATCACAATCGTGCACTAACTCTCAGTATTTCCAATGTGACCTTCATGATACAATGTTTGAAAAACCAAATGACACTTATGGTTGAGGTTTAGTCTGACATCTGTGGTTATTAAAGTCAAAATATATATCCATATCCTTAATATTCTCTGTTGTTGGATCCCCCATAAAATATAGATTTATTTTCGGTCACAGTTTAAAAACTCCTTTAGGGTCTTCCAATATTTAAGGTAGTTGCATGAAGATCACTAGAGCATGTTTACTTGTAAGGGAAACATGGATCAGGTATTTTCTGATTCTCATGTCGTAACCAGTGCCATATTAAACGAGAACAAATGTTGATATGTCTCTGCAGCAGCGTGGCCATACATGCTGCAGAAAATGCCTGTCATTGTCCCGCTGAATCCGGCGCAGACATCTGGTGTCATTTTTATCTAAATGGAACACACACTGCATGACTGATGAGTAAGAGAAAATTCTAACTTGTAATATACTTTGAGGGAAACAGGTGTCCAACGGAAAACATTTAAAATAGTAATCAAGTTAAGTATTGTACCTCAAAATTGAACTTGAGTAAATGTTCATACTTACTTTAAACAACTGTCAACATTAACATACATAGAGGGAAGACTTTATTTAGAGTTACACCATGTAGCATAGCACCTCACTATATTTTGGATTAAATATTTTTAGGAGTAATTGTCTATTATCTGCAAAAATTAATTGTATATATAAATAACGTGTACCTTTTCTTAGGAATTGGTGATTATTTTGGGTCTTTTTGTCTCTATTAGAATAGCTGAAGACAGGCCAGGGAAGGGGGAGTGAGAGAGGGGAGGGGGGACAGCATGAGGCAAAGGGACGTGGCCTGTTCATCCTGATGAGCTACTTTCTAACAACAACACAATGGCTCTTTGGATAATTAATCATTTCACCACATCACTTTGAGATATACAGTGAAGACTCTGAAAATAATTACTGATTATAACACGAGTTAATCAGCACAAATAATAGCTAACAACATTGCAGCTGATGGGACTAAATCAAAAGGTCATCTCTAATACCTCTGAGGGGAGGTTAGGTTCCCGGCTATAATGAGAAACAACTCATTACGACCCATCTATTATTATTTCTTTGCTTGATTAATCATGTTATTGTAATAAAAAAGTGTCACTGTCAGGGTTACTGCGGAGAAAATTATTCCTAACAGTTTCAAACTTTATATGAAGGAATTATTTTTTTCACATTGTTTGACTCATGGGTCTCCTGAAGTTTGTTGACTGAAGTCACTCCTACTACAGCAGGACATCCTGTCAACACTTTGTCCTCATAAAATCACTGAACAAAATAAATAAGCACTTCTGTCAGGATGGCAAATTATTATGAACCATCAGAAAGAACTGAAACAATTTGGGTTGAGTATTTCGAATATTGCTAATTTGCTAGTTGATTACCTCTTTGGCAATCCCATTGGAAGGTAGTTGGCAAGTAATGGATGTCTTCAATTATTATTTCATTACCAGCACGCAACATCAGCAACACTAAAAGGGTTCCTTATAAGTTGTTAAAGTCATCCTGGGGAGGACTTCATGGCAATTTCATCCAATAATTGTTGGGACATTTCACTCAACATCAAATATGTCAATAGAAAGAAAGTCAGGGGACTTTTAAAGTAACTAAAATTCATCCTTTGGGGATCATCTGTACAAAAAAAAGAAAATCCATGGCAATACATCTATTGCTGTACATACATCAGTCTGATCAGCAGACCAACATTGCCATCCCTAAAGAGTCAGTGCAAACACGGCTAATATCAACACCAACTTTTAAAAACTGTCTTTCTTACTTCATACCTACTCTCTCAACCTTTTTTCTTATCATTGAAATGTTGGCAAAAAGAATGTGTGGTTCTGTTACAGGACTTTCTTTGGCAGGAGCATGGATCTAAGGGTTATTTTTTAAAGGTTGAATACCCCTTTGCTGAAAGAGAGACGGAGCAATGTGACAGTGCCATGTTTAAAAATACCATTTTATGGTGCATACAAAACTAAGCAATTAAAATATAGCTTATGTGATTGCAAGACGATGTCAGGGTAACAGCTCACTCATCATCAATCTTGTGAAAATTAAATGTATTTTCGTCAAGCTTTACAGATTTTATCTTGGCAAATGAAACATTAGATTTAGGTTTTTGTGAAGTGTATTTTCTAACATTGTCTGCCCAGCTGTCTGTCTCTGTGGTGGAGGAAGGTGTTGGACGTGTCAGCACCACGCAGTCTGTACCTGAGGCAGCATTCTCTCTGGATGTCAGGTCAGTCTTATATAAGCTCCTTTCTGCTCTGTTATGTGCTTTCTTTCAGGGATCTAAGCCTCTATGTTCGGTACACCTCTGATGTACTGTGGGTCTGAAGGAACGTCCACTGATGGTGGCACAGTGTCATCTGGTGGAGGCTAGGGAAACTGAAACATGTGCACGCTGCCTGCATCTCAGCCTACATCAGCTACATAAAGCAGGTCAGTAAAGGGACAGCTCCTTTCAAGGGTGTTGAAATGAGCTGGCCATGACTCAGCTTACATTAGATAATCCCTCATAGTCTGTTTCCTTGAAAATATAATAATTTAAAATCTTGTACAATGGCATTTCAGACCACCTCGTGACAACACTACACCACTCCTGCTGCTTCTTCATCGTGTCATTTATTAAGCTGATTTAGTAGATGCTGCTTGATACTAAACAACAAATTGCTGACAGCATGAGGTATAATAAAATAAAATCAGCACAAAATGAAACTCTGGGTGGCAGATAAATAAAATATGTTTAATGCATGTCTTTAGTGGCAAAATATTTCACATAAATGAGTTGGAATTTCTTGTTTATGCACAGTCAAAATGTGCATAAATGTAATTAGTCTATGTATAATAATGTATTATTAGCAATCAAATGCACTTATTTACAGATGAAGAACATAATATATACAGTATATCCTACAGTGGGCACAATGTGTTCCCTTGTTTCCCTTTGACAAAATAGGTTAACATATTTTAATGTTTCATTAAGGCACAATAGAATAATAAAAATAGATAACGGTAAAAATGTACTGTTATAAGACATGTTAAGCTTTGCAAATATAAATATCTTTGGAGTTTATCAAATCACTGAGACCCTCTGCTACATTTAATCCTACATGGATCTTAACATGAACATTGTGTCCAGCTTCATATTGTTTTCTAGCAGAACTGATTTTAATTCGTGTTAGATATGTTGGCAGTTATTAGGACACCAACCAATGAATGTCATATTCAGACAACTTTTTGTTGTCTTATTTGTTATCTGCCTATTGATTGCATAGTCTTTTCTTGTCAAGAGTATATTCAATGTTTATGCTCTGCCATTTTCCTTTTCACTCAGGAATCTTTTCTTTTACTGCTCTTTGCATAGTTCATTAATATTTATACGGTCAAATGATGGTCTCTATTTGGCACTCATTTGAGTCGCTACAAACAGACCTACATATTTCAAAACTTGACACATTGCACAAATGCCCTGACAGCTTTCAGTTTGGGGAATCTATTTAAATCCATCACACCATGCCCTCGATGGTGTCCAGCTTCGGGGAATGCTCAGCCTTAGTGTGAGGCATTTCCTGCTGTTCACAGACCTGCTGGTACTCTTTCAACAGCTTCACCACCTCGACATGTCCGAACTGCAAGGCGTCATCCACCGGGAGGTTGCCCCACCTGCACAGCAACCAATAAAAAAGGTAACGGTGAAGAGAGTAATCAGCTGATTAAACATACAGGGGGATTCTCAGCAATGCACATTTAAAGGTGGGGTAGGTAAGTCTGAGAAACCGGCTCGAGATACACTTTTTGTTATATTCCATGGAATGCTCTTAACATCCCGATAGCAATGAATATCTGAAGTGCTTTGACAAAAAATCCATAAAAAATGTTATCTGTGGAAGCCGTAGTACTGTAAAAAGCACGACCAATCATTTTAGCCGGCCCGGCTAAAGTAACTGGATGGCCTACCTGCCTGTCAGCCTTCCATCAGTGCACAAACTTATCTCGTGCCCTCATTGGTCATGACGCGTTCGTGTGTGTTGGAGGAGGGGCTCTGTAAGGAAGTGGCAGATTTGTTTCGGCTGCGTATTTTCAAATTCTAGCGCACTCAAGCTGGTTTCTCCAAAATGACCTACACCACCTTTAAGAATTCAACTTTTTTCAAATTCAAATGAGGAGAGGTAAAGACAAATTAACCTCAAAAAGATTCACTGAGCATGTTTATAATGGAGATACAAAGTTTGTGATAGCAAGTTTCCAAATTCTAAAAGTTCAACTTCTACTAGACGACTGCCATTTATGGTAAGTGGAATTGTATGTAAATTGTAATATAAGCTACTTAAAGTGCCTCCTCTAAGTGGTTTTCGTTATGTCATGCATGTCTTGCTCTCAATTATAATGGTACCATTTTTACTGAATTGCAAAAACATTTTTTGACTTGATTTGCTCAGGGAAAAACTGATCAGAAATCACCTCACGGGTGACGGATGGGAAGAAGTATCTACCGTTACATTTCATTCTCAGCCAAATTAGCTCACAAAAAAGAATAGGAAATGTTTTAAATTCCATTTGAAAAGAACAGAAAACAGAAAAGAAGTCTGTTAGCTGTTTAGAAATGAAAGAAAAGGATAGAAAGAAAGTTCTCACCTGTCTTCTACAAATGGATTGACTTTGCAGGTTTCAGTAAGGAACTTCACCACATCTACATGACCTGAAAATAAATCATAAAGACAACCGTTTAGTTTCCATTCAGATAGAGTTAGAGACAATCTTTATCTAAAAACACTGTTTCCACTTGGTGTCGAAAACATTGCTAGAGCAGCATACCGCTTTAAATCATATTGCCCCAAGCAAGCAAGCCATTTATGATTTATAAGTTCTCCTCATAAAATGACAAATAGTGGGTGAAATATAGCTGCTGAGACACACACTACATGGGAAAAAAGAATTATCACTATTCCTTCCAGTCACAATCCAAATCAGAAACAGATTTAAGAGTGCACAGCTTTTTCATTTGGAGGAAAACTATAACACCCATTTTATCTTGTAAACAGATGACTTGCTTACAAGGCTCTATTTAAGAAATGTTACTGTTGAAGAAACAGCCGCAGAGAAATAAATCTGTGCTGTGAATAAACTTAAAGCACAACAACAACAAGATGAATAATCAACCAAAGGCTTCTCTGAGTTATTAGTGGATTTGTGAATGTGAACCAAAGCAGCGGTGCCTCCATAGATCCACTAATTATAGACATTTACATACTGTACACTGCAAGTAAAACACAAGTACCCTGTCAACTCAAATTAACTTAAGTGTTTGATACAGGTTCGCTTGAGTGGTTTAAACCAATCCTCATTTCTGTGTACATTACTCTTTCTTAAGTAAAACAGTAATTTGTTCACCTGCTTTGATGTTGGGCCCAGCGTTTGAGTCCACTGTCTGTGGTAATAGTAGTTTTATATCAGGATATCTATAAGTGTCTTACAGATTTTCACTTTATTGGAGTTCATACTTGTCTTCTTTTTATTTGGCTCATTCCCTCATTAGCCCCACAGTACATACACCACCTCACTCTCACTTGTCCCCTGCAAGATTGTGTTACGTGTATTGCCAAGCTCTCCAGCGTTCAGTTTGTATTAGCCGGTATATCTGCTCTGCCCGTTTCTGACCCTTGATTTCTGACCTCGAGTTTTCTGCCGAATTTGTTTGCCTGATTGACAGATCCCCTGGCTTTGGATCCCTATTCTGACATTCCCCCTTCATTGGAATTGTTTGCCTGACTGATGGATATCCTGGTTTTGACCCTGCTTGAATCAGGCTTAAGCAAAACAGTTCTCCAATCTTCTGTCTGTATCTGACTTGCGCTTCCAGTCCCCACCTGGGAACATTACAGATTTAGTGTTGCTCATTCACTAATTATCAGGACAGATCATGCAGAGCTCACCTTCTGCTGCAGAGATATGTAGAGCGGTTCGAGAATCATAGTCTTTCAGGTCCATGTCCATGGATGAGAGAGCAAACCTGAACGAATAAATAGAGTAAGTACAATTGATTATACTTTTTGTACATAAAATAAAATGTTTTCCCAAAGAGTCATACAAATATGAAACTATAAAAACCTATTTCAGCATTGACTTGCAAGTGGCTCTATGATTGTTTTAAATGATGTAGACAGACTGTGTTATATTTCACAAACCAGACTGAAATTAATACATAAAGTGTCCTCTAAATATGTGAGATCCATGCTAAGCAGCATTAAAGCAGTGTTTCCCATTTGTATCATTTGTTGGCCTTCTTATTGTTTTCAGTACCCACGCCTGCTGTTAACATTATAAAGGTGATTTGTTATACAAGAAAAACTATTTTCAGGTTTGCTGGTGATGTACCTTCTCAGGGCAGACACATCTCCACTGTAGGCAGCGAACATCAGATTAAATACAGACTTGTTCTGCAAAACACAGCAAAAAAAAATGTAAACATGGGAGGCAGAGACCACATTTGAGATACAAGCAAGAACAAACAAATAAACAAACCCTGTCGTCTCCATCTGGTCTGCGAGGATCCTGCTTCTTCACAAAGTGCCTCAAGTTGTCATAGTTGTGGAAATTGAAGAGCGAAACCAGCTCCTGAGGGCGATAAGAGAGGATATAACTGTTAGAGGAAGAATACTCAGGAAAACGTATGTATTATTTGTATGCTTTTTAGGACAAAGAAAAGTATTATGCAAACAAAAACAAGACAAGATTTAAGAGGACATATTCTGCTCATTTTAGTATGTTGTGCTCTACTGTGACATGTCTCCATGCTTTAATGTTCAATAAAGTCTTCATATTTCTCATACTGCCTGTGCTACAGCACCTCTTTTCACCCTCTGTCTGAAACCAGAGCCCAGTCTGCTCTGATTGGTTAGCTGGCCGGCTCTGTTGTGATTGGTTAACTGCTTAGAGATGTTATGAGCCTTTGCAGACAATAAACATGCACAATAAACAATACAACACTCTACAAAAAGCATTATAGGGCCCCTTTAAAAGAAGATTTAAACCTATGGAGTCACTGATGGGATGTAAACTGCTACATCACAGGACACTGGTTTTACTTTATTAGTTAAAAGCCATAAACTAACTCTGCTCCATTAATCATTGTAAGCACCTTCCAACAATCAATAATACTGATTGTTTGAGCCTAAACTCTTAAGTTCCTGGTTTTGGAAGAATAAACCTTAATTGTGTTCTAAATCAACATTAATGTGATTAACTAAGCAGGTCCTTATTCATTTCTTCAGCAATGAAAGTTACTTGTAAGATTTAAAAACTTCAGACTTTGGAGCCATTGAGTGACTATATAAAAACACACAGGAAACACCAGCAGACAGCAATACCAACAAAAATATGCCATCAGATGCTATGACATTGTACTATAGGGGTCTTATTTAAGTATCTCTACTTTACCATTAAGCGTATAAATACAAAGGCACAACTTAATAAACGGTAACATATTGCCCTCACCAGACAAAAGTGTATTCCCCGAACACTGTTTCCCACTCTGTCCAGAGGAGGAGACCAGCACATCACCCCCATGACGTTGGGGATGACCAGCAGAATGGCGCCGGACACCCCCGATTTGGCTGGCACTCCCACCTAGGAGATGAGTTTACTTCACTTCACAAAAATACATTTAATTCCCACAGAGATCCAACTGAAGAGATCAGATTCTAATGTTTGATGCTTCTGAGCTTGCACAACTTTGATCTGTACTCACATGAAAAGCCATCTGGCCAGAGAAGTCGTACATGCCACACGAGTGCATAAGACTCAAAGTGTTCCGCACTGCCTCGGCACTCAGGACATGCTCGCCTGTGATTGGACAGATTCCTCCGTTGGCCAGCGTGGCAGCCAGAATACTTCCTGACTCACAGGTCACCTCGATGGAGCAAAGCTAAGAACAAAAGAGGAAAATACATTTTAAATCAATCTCACGCTACTCATGATTATTGATTGAATGACCCCTCATAATAAGCTCCATGGCAGAGCAGTTTACCTGGAAGTAGAAGTCCAGGGCATCGATCATATCTGCTCCTGGGGGAAAACACTGGTGAAGGAACGATAATCATCATGACTATTGGATTGACTAAAGTGTGTTGGCCTAGCGCTGTTCAATTATACTATGATTTCTCAACCAGCAAAATCAAGATTATACGTGTCAGGTTGCAAAACTCTCTTATTGTGGCCCCTTAAATAGGGTCCAAAGTTATTTTATAACTTTATAACATGATAAAGTGTTGGAGATATACAGAGAAGCTATCTAAAAGGAACTTCAGTTGAAGATCGGTGGTCAACCAAATTAATGATGGTAGCGAAAATGGATAAAGGCTCATTTGGGTAAATACAAACCTAAACGATTCCTAATTTAAAATGATGTTCTCTGTTATATATACTTGTAGGTCTATTAAACAAAGAAAATATAAGAACATATTATGAAGACAATGTAGTGATCAAACTTGACTTTCTTACACTATTATTTGATTCGTCAAAGCCACATCTTTTCAGGTTTCAACTTTTCCCATAGGTTATCTCTTTTTTATTTGAATGTAAACTGATGTAATATTGCTACTTTTTTCACAGTTTCTGATTGAGTGAATAATAAATCAATAAATAAAGTGAATACTGGCAGATTCATCTGTAATTAAAACATTACAATTAGTCTAAGGAAACATAAAACCATGTGAATTCAAAACGCGCAGTTGGATATACAGAAGGTATGTAAACATTAAGCAGCAGGAAATGAAAAAACATTTCTAACCCCACATTTTCAGCCCTCTCTAACTGACCTTCTTCTCTTTCATGTAGTATCCGATGGCAAAGTTTCTGTCGCCTGTTTCTTTTTCTGACTGGAACCTGAGACAGAGAGGCAGGAGGGGTCAGTACTAAAACATAAATAATGCAATAGAGCATTGCACAGGCCTTTTTCTGTGTCTTTCAATTTATGTGATAAATCGAGGATATATTAACTCAAAATACCTCAAATGTATTTGCAGTACACTCACATGGCATTGCTGAATCCCACATACTCTTGGCCTGCCATCTTTTTCACAAAGTCCATAACCTGGGCAAACAAAGACACCATTTTAAGTGTACTGCTGCATCCATAACCATAACACAATCAACTCTGTATGTGTCTTTGTGATTCATATTCATGGTGCAACCAGAAAACAGGAAAAGTACTTACATAGTCAAACTTCTCTGCCTTATTGGAACGAGGCTGAAAACCAAGCGAGAGTGATTTTCTTGTGTTCATTGTAATTGCCACAATCATACCATTCATGCATTTATAAACCCTGGACTTAAATTACTTCAGTACTACTTATTACAAAGGCTAAAATGATACATGAATATATCACTGATTTCATAATTTAGTACCCTATTATCTGCGCGTACAGTGCAAGGGGAAAGATAGCCGATCATAAACCACAGAGCTCAAGTATTTTCACAAAACAGGACAGATACTGCAGACAAAGTTTGTTGAAAAGCACAAAACTGCTTTCTATTAAGACCTTCCAAATAACCTTCACCAAAACAAATGTCAAACATTGGGATGTTTTTGTATAATATATGAATAGCTTGTTGATTCATGCCAGGCTATGTCATTAAGACCATCATCACATCAACAGGCTTGCTCAACAACCCACAGGCTCTAAACTAGAATAAATTGTACATTTAATTATTTAAAATATGTCACTGATTGTTCTACAAACTAAAAGTGAATATATTTAAAGAATAAGCCTTAATACTTGACAGTGTTCTAGTTAAAAGATACTTGTCAATACAAGTTAAGAAAAATAATGACTATAACTCATGTATGCAATAAATGTGTTTCACGAAAAAGAGCAAACATTTTATATGATTTTTTTCCTGATTATTTTAGCTGACTTTGTGCAGAGTTAGCACACTTTAATGATATTCATAAAATGTCCGGTGGGATTCCTGTCATTTTGTGAATATAAACAATATTACAAAAATCTAAAGCTTGTATTACTCCAATGTCAAAGCAACAATTTGTACAATAATCCCGCTCACACACTTTTACTAAATGGAGATTCATTTACAGTGTGTGCTGACTCGACCATCACACAGCAGGCCATTCATGTCCATCTGCTCACCTTGATAAGAGAGCTGATCACAATGGCTCCTGCGTTCACCATGGGATTGTGGGGCTTATCTGGGAGAAAGGACAACGAGATACGACGAATGTTGAAGCATAAATCTATAGTATCACGTATCATACTGAAGTTTAATATTTACTGAGAGCCAAAGAGGTGCTGTACGCTGCAATTCAGCTGAGGTCGTGATGGGGAAAAACGATATGAGTTCGTCTGACCTGCATGACCTGTCCCATACAATTAATTGTATTGCTTATTTTATAATCAATCAATTGTTTGTGTAGTTTATATATGTTATGTGAAATGTAGCTTTGAATTTAGTTGTATGTACATTGCTTGTAAGAAAGAAAAGACAAAATGTAAAAAGCTATGATACGGTGAATATAAGATGGACCATTTATCAGCATCAGCAGGAAGAAGGAATAATCTGTTAAGTGTGTAATAGCCCTTATCCAGCCAGTCATTTCCTCCCATGCCTTACTCACCTTCATCATCGAGTGAGAGCATGTTGAACTTGAATCCGCTGGGCTCCATGCCGACATATTGATGAACCTTCTCTGTTCCCGCCTCGTGGACGGCGATGGCGTACTGCAGTGGCTTCACGCAGGACTGCAGGCAGAACGGCTGCTTGGTGTCGCCCACTGAGTGCCTGTAGGAAGAACACACAATGTCTAATTGAACCTGCATTAACTAATTATCTGTCCTTGTTTATGTTTCCAATAAACATTAAGCTGGATACTAAGAAGCAACACCTAAGGCCTGTACTACGAAGCCGGATTTTCGCTTAGCGGGCTAACTTCAGGGAAAACTCTGGGTTTCCGGTCCTACAATGCTGGTTCTCTTTTTAGCGGGCTAGATCTCCATGGTAACTTATGCTGAGCGGCTAACCTGGTCCGGAGCAGGTTAGGTTGCAGGCTAAGAGATCAACTCAGTGAAACACCGCCTGCTGACCAATCAGAGCTCCGTGTGCGGAGTTTAAAGCGATCAAGTCATCTTTTATCCGGGATAAAGTGTTTAAGTCATGGATGTTTAAAGTGTAACGTCTTCATATTTGTCTAATATTATGGTTCACTTTTCATTCAGGAAGTATGAAGCTGCGCTGTCAGTGCGCTTCTCCATGTTTGTGATTGGTCGAATGCTCCAAATACCGCCCCTTTTATGTGAACATGCACCTAACTAGATAGGTCACGGCTGGCTTGAGCGATCCACTTGATAACCCGCGTCGTAGGACCGTTTAGCGAGAGCGCGTATGTTTTGGATTAGGCAAACCGGCTAACTCAAACATATCCAGGTTAGGTTGAACCGGCTTCGTAGTACAGGCCTCTGCTGCTGTTTGAGGGTTCGTTGTCTTACTCATGGGCATATTTTGTTCTATTAATTCATTGGTACAAAAAAGGACACACTACTTAAAGGGGCCATATGATGCTCATGTTCAGGTTTCACTACTGTGACATGTTTACATGCTTTAATGTTCAAAAAGGTATTTATTATTTTCATACTGCCTGTGCTGCACCTCTTCTTACCCTCTGTCTGAAACCAGAGCCCAGTCTACTCTGATTGGTTAGCTGGCTGGCTCTGTTGTGATTTGTCAACCACTTTGAGATGTACAACACTCCCAAAAACCACTGAGTTATAAGTCTGTTTTAGTCAAGTACAAATCCATAACTCTTACCTCTGGCCATCCACTGTACACAGAGACACACCCCACAGATCTGGACTAAACTTGGCCAGCTGGGGGATGTAGTTTGCGACCTAAAACCACAAAACACAAGAGGAACACAAAAACAGTTAAATTACAGTTGAAGGTACAGAACAAGGTCTCAAAACGATCAAGCACTGAGCAGAAGAGGATGCGTTATTAGATAGAAAATGATTTTGTTCGTGCAGAAAGTCAGTGAAACGGGACATGATCAGGATTCCTATAGTATGACTTATTCTGCCACAGACAGTCACTTCATACATCTTCAGTATTACTTTGAATTCTTAAAAAATTGTGAGAATACAGTGTAAATGTGCTGTAGATTATGTTTGCCTATACACAGTATACGTCCCAATAAGTTAAGTAGGAATACAAATCATACAAATCATTATCCATGTGTGTGCAAGGCTTTAATAAAATATGTTATGTTTCTTTACTCTTAGAAACAAAATAACAAAAGCATACCTTCCCATCAATTTGAGTTTGCACCTCGTTGTAGATTTCATTTATTTTTTGTGCAAAAACATCAAACTCAGGAATGATGAATTTCTTTCTGAAGGCCTGGATCAGCAGGACGATGTTTCCACTGACACACCTGAGAGAGAAAAAAATATAAGTCAGAGGCACTCAGGAGTACTTTTGTTGAGTTTAAGTGTGTGTGTGTGTGTGTGTGTGTGTGTGTGTGTGTGTGTGTGTGTGTGTGTGTGTGTGTGTGTGTGTGTGTGTGTGTGTGTGTGTGTGTGTGTGTGTGTGTGTGTGTGTGTGTGTGTGCAGCTGCCAGCTATCGGTCTAAGCTACAGGCTTTTGCTTTGATCAACATGACAGTGATTAAACCTGACATCTCCTGACACACACTAATTACATAACACTTACTTTCACACGTCGGTTTTGCATAATCAAGTTAAGGGAATACTTCACAATATACGTGTAGTACAACATTTGCCTACTGTATCTATGCACACGTCTTAGAATGACGTGATTACATGCATGTTTAATGACTTGTTCTGGCAAGATACTGTATATCCTGTTTGCAATGCCTTTTTTACATGCTGCTGCAATTGTCCCAATTAGGGATCAATAGTGTATCTGATCTGATCTATTCTAATCACTAGGGAGAGGTAGTAGTTCAGACTTTCTCCACATTCTTCTTGAACCTGTCATACATAGCTTTTAATTAGCTACTGTATGTAAAGTATGTGTAGGGGACAAGGGGAGAACACAGAAAGACAAAGGCAGAGACATGCAGCAGGTCACATACACCAAATGCTTCATTAGAATGGTATGTTTTGGAAGGGCGGACTAAAAATAGTTTGGGCTCGTGTCTGCAGCGGGTAGCGAATGGAAAACAAAACACCAAAGATATTCAGGGACAAGATACAAGTCCATATTGAGGTGTTGAGTAGAAGAGAAACAGTCCCGGAAACAGACGACACAGTGAAGAACTTTGGAAAGTAGTTAACTGCTCTATTTTTTGTCAGTAATGTGATTTCATCAAAACAAAGTGTGTAAGTGTATTTCCAAATAAAATGGGATTTTTTTTAAAGAAAAACACAGTCTTTATTGTGAGCTTTGTCTATCCTCTGCATTGATGAAGTATCATTTGTAACTGTCAGTATGTTGGTGCTTTGAACAAACTAAACAGAACAGAGCTCTACTGCATTGGATGGGTAGAGCCAGTAAAATATCAGCAAAATGTTATTATGTTGCGTGATGAATTATTCCTTTGAATCAGCAGCTACAAATTAAGTTTACTGCTGCTGCAACAAGTTGTTGTCTTGTCTCACCTGTGGAAAAGTTCTCTGTCCATCATCACCTCACCAACAGAGTCGTTCACAGCCTGTCGAATTCTCTCCATGCAGTCCTTTAGACGAGGATCTGACGGGTGGAGGCCGGTTTTCTTCAGGGCCTGCAAACAAGAGTGGACCATGAAATTATGATGAGATACAGACAGACAAGTGCTTAAATAGTTGGTGTTTACTTACCGTGGTAAAGTGTGTAATGGGGACTTGTTCTTTTCCGTCTGTGATGGTGTAGAAAAGCATGTCTTCCACTCCAGAGCTGGGGGACTTTGAAGAGCCATTCCTGATCAAGCGAAGATAAAAGTTTCAACGAAGAATAAAGCAAGCATTCTTTATTACAGTCTTATATACAGAAGACATAGCTAAAATTATAATTTGTTTAAAAATCCTTAGAAAAAAACAACTCGGTCATTCAATCATGCAAAAATAATCTACAATTAAACCGCTAATATGGCCTACACAAGAAGCAATATACACTTTACATACATGTTCAGATAAGTTACTATGACATGGTTTTGTTTGGGGGTTTTTTGGACACTGAAAGTTTTGAAACTCCAACATCAAAGTGCTGATTGCATCATTTATAGCTGCCACATGCTGATAACTGACACTGTCTATAATGAACACCACATGAAGTAGCAGTTACTATAAATATATTTGTCTTCATATGTAGAAAAATATAATAAGAGGCAACTCATATTACAATGTGGCTAAGCCTGTAAGATTGCCCAGCAGCAGCAACTCCTGTGATGACACCGAGTTGTTTTTATCAGACTGAGACACTTACATTTTGAGTTGGAAATGGTCCAAGTGTGTCGGTGTTGGTCGCTGGGACGATGTTGTTGTTTTTGTGCTCAGACAGCATGCTGGCTGGATGATGAAGAGCTTCCTCACAACGTCTGACTGTTTGGCGATCTGCTGGACAGAGTTGGACAGACGCAGGGCTCTCAGGCAGAGCATGGCTGCTCACAAAGCCGCTCTGACAGCCTAATTTACGGGGAAGATCACAGCAAACACCGCTGCTTGGTTCAGGGGAGATCTGCTATCCTGCGGCTCCTGCGAGGTCACTGACAGACAGAAGTTCTGCTGCCTTCAGGTGTCGTAGGGAATTGTATCATTTCGACTACTGAACTCTTTTTTACGATAGGCCACGGCGTGTATTAAATTCAGCGGTGGAAAGTAACTTTAGCTCAAGTACTTTACTTAATACAATTCAACTTGTATTGAGTAACTTTTCTCATAACTTTCTTTGCAGGTTAATAAAAATAACAAGCCATATAGGTATTGTTATTTGCTTGTTATGCGTGCCTTAAGACAACAGTAACTGTTGTCTTAAGGCACGCTAACTCGTAGTCTATTTATAGAAGGCATATATCAAAAACATTTTTGCCCGTAACCACATTGAAGTGATACCAATGAATAAATAATCTTATTTTCTTCATTGAATAATATAACGTTTTTTGGGAGTATATTTCCAGTGGTATTATTCAAATACTTTTAATTCGAATTGTTATTGCATGACTTTAACTTACTTTAGGATGAATTATCCTTATATTCATCACATTTATGCACTTGAATATACATGAAACATCTCTGCAACACGTAATAATCATAACACTTTCGTCATTAGTGTCCAAACATACTCCATAAAGTTAGGAGATAATTTTTTCGTTTACGAACGGCACTTGAATGCAGCAGAGGGTCTATGTCTTGACCTAAATTCAGGCACGCTACCTCATGTGGTGGCTGTCATTTGAGTTGACTGACAGCTACAGTAGCCATTCAGGGGCTAGAAATGTGTATCGCGAGCAGAGGACTGCTAACGTTATGGGTGTCAGTCAAGATACAAGTTATGTGTGACCACATAATTGAGTATCAGGAATAAAATAGTCTACAATATTAAAGTAGTAAGACTTTTTTTTCTTTTATAATTTTCCCAAGAAAGCTGTAGTTAGTACAGTTGGTTTCATGAAATGATCTAAAACCAGTCCCTAACTACTATATTCAGGCATTCCAGTGAAAGAAAGCCTTTGACCTGTTGTGCAACGACACATGGTCAGCCAACAGGCCTCTCACTGTATTATTACGTTCACCAACAGCTGAACCTGTTTAGGACATTCCTCCAATGGCTTAACTGATACCTAACTCAACTGATAGCCTTAAGAACTGTGTGCAAGAAGCACGTTATAAAGATTAATACAAGTGAAAGTTCACTTTTTTTCAGCGACAGACACTTAATACTAGTAGATACTGCTTAGAGAATATGAGTGTCCAGAAAACACTTACTTAGCACTTTTAAAGCAACACAATAAGGGATGTAATAACACCAGAGTATACCGTCATGTTGATTTAAAATGTACTTTTAGATTTTGAATGTATTAAAAGCATTCAAGCCTCAGGGCGATAGAGTGTTTGTCCACCCAGAGTGGAGCAACAACAATTACAAGAATGAAAATAACAAACAGTTATATGCTAGCATATGTGCATTGATAAAAATACATTCAACAAGGCTATTCAGAAATCATCGTGATGTGACTGCATATTGGTGTGTGTAAATCATAAAGCTTTTTGCCATTTATTTTATTTGTGTCCAAGTTAAACAGATCTTAGCATTCAGAGAGTTAATTGATAATAAAATCCTGTTGAATTTAGTCTCTGATGTTTAACAGCATTCATATCAAGGAACATAAATAACAGCTTCAAAAGGCACAGCATAGAATTTACAAAGAAAATGAATTAAACAGTAAAATATACATTACAGTTTAATTATTTTATCTCTTGTCTAAATGTCTTAAGGAAACAAACCTTTACATGGCAGATTATGCACATATAAATTAATAACAGCAATAGAGTAATGCCTGGAAAATGTAGATAAGGAATATGGGTATTTTGAAAGGCAAGATGTTAATTAATTGATATCAACCTCTGCACTGCATTAAAATGACATAAAATGACATATAAAGGCTGATAACTTTGAACAAGTTTCTTCCAAGGCATCATGATTTACACACTCTTTGACGGGCGGGGCAGCACCAGCCTCAGCCCGATGTCGACCACACAGCTGGGCATGTAGGAGAGGGGGATCCACAGCAGCTTGGCGTCCCAGCCCGGGCTGTACCTGGTGCGAGGGTAGGCCGCCGTCAGAGCGTGCTCCATGCAGCCGGTCACCTTGGAGAGGTCGGTGTCGCAGACTGCCTTCATGATAAAACGCTGGACCTTGATGTCTAAAAATGAAAAGATCATTTGTGCATAAAACATGACTGAAGTGCATTTTTCTTTGCTTCACCTCAAAATGTGTGTATTTCATATTCAGTGAGATTCATGATACTAAATACTATAAAGTATACACTGCACTGTACTGTATACATGCCTTTATTGTTAAAGGGCATAAATGGAATGTTTGTTTTGCCTTCAGGCACAGCAAAGCAGCTTGTGTTTATGAAATCAATTCAATGTGCTTTTAATATGGAAATATGGCAGCAATTACTAAAAAGTTGACGCATTTATGGGAAATTCGTAAATAATCAATTTTCAGTGTGACTTTAGGATAGAGATTGTAAATATGATGTCTTTTATTTAACCCATAAAACAGATACATATTTGTGTATGTCAGATTTCCAGTGAACCTCACAGTGATGCTCCCTCATGGTTTGCATGATGAGTGTGAATAAATACAACCAGTCTTTTCTTACATTTATCAAGGTACTTGTCTCCATAGCTGGCTTGGACTTCAGGGGTGAGCTGGTTCCACAGGCGGTGCAGCTCCCTCTCCAGGGGGTCCAGGCTCGTCACCGCAGTCTTGAAAAATCCTGGCTCAATGATGCACACATTGATTCCAAAGTAGTTTATATCTCTCCTGAAAACAGAAATGTCACATAGAATACCATCGAACATTCAATCTCTAAAGAAGTAATCATTAAACTGATGAAATAATCCTTATTTGGATGCGTTATTGTTAACTGAATCATTTGTTTATAGTGAAAAACGTTTGCTTAAAAATGACATGTGATTATTAATGTGAAATGTACAATGCCACATTGGCTGAAAGAGTGTAAAAAGCCTGTGAGACTCTTTCTTCCTACAGATACATACTCTTGGCACTTGATGGAAGCATTGTCTCTGTTGTACAACAATACATTTCAGCTTCAATTACCAGTCTGTGTATTTATTGTGTTATATTCTGAAGTCCTGAGTGTTTCAAGTATTGGATCCACAACCCCTTCGGCAGTAAAGTTTTTATATAAAAAATAGGCTTAGCAGCTTGAGTGTAAGAAATGAAAACACAATAGTAAATCTGGTAGATAAACACAGTAATCTTGTCTGGTCTCATGAGCCAATACTTGTCTGTCTGGCATATGCTGAGGCAATTTTGTTTTGTGTGTAATCTGTTAGAGGGATTGTGCTTTATTGCTGATAAAATCTGTTATTGTTTGTCTTTTATTTAATAGAAAATGTTTCATAAAAACACTGTCTGAAAACCAAATCTCCCCCATGGAACAATGACAATATGAAGATTACGGCTCGAACTAGTATTTTATTATGATTACAGTACAGGTCTTTGTGAAAGTGACAGAAAAAGGGAATATTGAGGATTTGTGGGGAGTTTGTGTTTCTCTCAGTCGACAACAATAAAGACGTAATGGCACAACATCGTTTCTTTTGGTATAATAACGTGCCAGGGTGTGCTTTTATTCGATGAGGTTGTGTAAGGCTTACCTGAGGCAGTCAGAGAAAGACTCCACTGCAAATTTGGAGATGCAGTATCCACCACCGTTTGCAGCCACCCTACCCAGAACCGATGCTATGTTTACAATGCGGCCCCGAGCCTTTTTGATGAGGGGCAGGAAGGTCATCGTCATGGCAATCGTTCCATTCATGTTGACCTTCAATGTGCTGTGGAAATCCTCCACTCTCATCCACTCTGTAGGACCCATGGGTAACGAGCGTCCGGCATTGTTAACAATTCCCCAAAGTCCTACAAAAAAGGAGATAAAAGGTGGAAGAACATATTTTGGTTACAGATCTACCTTGTGAAATGTCACTAACCCAGGTCATGTATTTCTTTAATGCAGCATCAGCTCTTACCCTTATCCCCAACCTCCTTCTTGGTCCACTCCATGGCTTCTTCGATGCTGTCCTGACTGGCCACATCTAGCAGGACAGTCTTCAAATAAGGCCCCGTCGCCCTCTTCAGGTCATCAGCTCCCTTTTCTGTGAGGCAGCCGGCCAAAACGTGGAGACCTCTACGATCGAGCTTCTTACACAGCAGGTTACCAAACCCAGAGTCACAGCCGGTCACAAACACATACTTGTCCGTAAGTTCCTCGATCTCCAGGCTGTCTCTGTACAGCCACACGACAAACCACAAAACCACGAAGGTAGCACCGACGTACGACCAAGCATTTTCCCTGGAAGAGAACAACAGAAAAGAGAGGAAGGGATTTAACTTTGAGAAAATATTGTTTAGATGGGTAAGCGCTGAGGTTATAAGGTTTGGCATACAGCTGCCAAGAATGTAGCGTAGCATTAGTAATTCTTACCCTAAAAGGTCGTAGACAAACTGCATGTCCATGCTGATTCCAGGATAAGAGGAGGATTTTTGGTATCCTTGCTGAAAAATCATAAATAATAGGTTTTGACATCCAAGCTTTCAGGAGTGGAATGGAAGGCAGATACACCTACTTATTTCAGGACTCGATTTCATAATATTTTGGGTTTATCGAACCTTTTTTGAAACGATGGGATACAAGGGATTTGTTAACACAGGGCATTAGAAGAGGGGCTTGCGATACAGAACTGCTCTGGGCACATGAGAAATCTTTGGATAATACTCTTATGGAAGAAAGAAGGCATTTGTGAGGGAGGGGGACCCGAGGAGGAAGGGGTATTGTTTTGAAGCATAAATGTAATGCCCGTGACGAAGCTGCTTAAGCTGCTCATTGCTGAAAACCAATTAGTTTTATGGCTTATTAGAATAGAAAAAAATGGAAAAATATTCTTCTGTGCGTTGTGTTATCCATAAATTCCAAATTTGCTGTAGTTTAAAAAATATATAAATTAACTATACTGTTTCTGTTGGCATGAGAAAATGTATTAAATCATAATTGACCCAGTAAAATTACAAATCAGGTTAAGGAAGGTTGCATTTTAACACTAGTTAATATTCACTCAGGGCTTTGGCCTCAACAAGTACTCAGCAACCTGTTCCTGTTTTGTTTTCTTCAGCCTATGTATCTGTATGATTATTATTACTTTTTGTTTTGTTTTGTTACTTCCTATTGTAAAGCGTCCTTGGGTTTCGTGAAAGGCGCTATATAAATTGAAATTATTATTATTATTATTATTATTATTATATATGGCCACAATATACTAGAATACTTCAAATATTCATATACAGTATGTCAGCGACATTTAATCCAGTAAATCTACCCAACCCCAATTATGCTGTTAGCCTTTATACATGTAAAGTAATTGATTAATTAACTAAATGACACAGTGATATACTCGCACAGGAAATTGTGATCATTACCAACATTACCGAGTATAATCAGTAGAAAAAATGTATCAGAGCAACTCAGAAAGAGGAAGTACTTGAATTACAAATTCAATGGTGAAATCATTAATAATTATAATAAACTTCCTACCTTTTCCCTCTTTTAGATGTGATGGATCTCCACGAGTTATCCGTCCGCTTCCCTTTCCCTTTCAGGTTATTCTTCTGTCTTAACTCAGAAAGGCTGGTCACAGAGGGACTTTATCCCTTTGGTTTATCCCTTAAGACAAGTCCGCAATTGGTAATCCCCAATCCATAACAACTTGGTTTGTGCGTGTTTGTATTTAAGTCAAAGTCATGGGAATTACAAACTACAACTTTCTGTACACAATGTGAACTTGGATATCAAAGAATTTATTTATTTTTTTAGCTAGTACCACTTCTCAAAGTGCATTATCTTCTTTAAAATAACTTCAAGAGTTCAACATGAAATCTTACCCGTTTTTAGAAACTAGTGGTTCCCGGGGTATACGGTGTAAGTACTTTATGTTCTAAGAGTGTTAAATAAAACTTGGAATAATCCCACATTTTAAAACCTTTGCACCAGCTTTGCACAGACAAAAACACGTGTAAAGCGTAATTGGCTCATTCAGTTCACTGCCCTATTACATTGAACAATGTATGCACTGTACTTGGTGCCTTTGCACTGTATTGTGGCAAATCACAAAACAAGAAAAAGTGTGATGTAGTATTGTGAATGTGTATGACAAATTGATACACAATCTCACACTCCATTAACAACTATAACATAGCTTGCCCTATGACCAGTTTGTCAAATGTTGGCTTATATAGTTTAAGAAGATTTTTTCACAACTACTTTTTTTTACACTAAAAACAAGCACAATTTGTTGCCATGTGATGGAAAAGTTTGTTCGCATCTATATTTGGACCCTAACCCTAATGCGCAGTGAGTTGAAAGTACTTGTGGTTACCAAACGCCTGAAATTACATGACTGAACTCCACAGCCCCATGTATCATTTCATAGTGACACATTGCATGCAACATTTGTCCAATTATCTTGTCTACAAATTGTAAAACTTTGTATGCCAAATATTGTTGCTGTACTTTGTCATTTGGCTTTGAGTCTTCTGATTTTGTAATGATACCATAGACAAAGTCCAATCCTTGACCCAGAAGTCAGTCTAAAAACTGACCACTACCACCGTTTGTGGGTATGAACATCCTCACAATCGGATCCATGTTAAGGCAGCTCGAATATCCCTTTTCAAATGAGGTTCTTTATGCTTTGTATTCATGTAGTATTCCCATATTACTTTGCATGTATAAATTCACTTTAGTGGTGGATATATTTTAAATGGTTTCATAAGAAAACAAACCAATGCATTTTATTACTTTATTACAAATAATAGTCACCCTCTGAACGGTAACTTAAGTCAAAGTTAAGTTGTCTGACAAAAAGTGATGTTATCATACATAGACATACTATATTACAAAAGCATAGAAGTACATAATTAAGTTAACAGGTGCTGAAAATAAGCCTCCCAGTTAAAGATATTACAGACAAGCAGACAGGTGGCAAAGTCATCATCAGCGTGGGCCCATTCCGGTGAACATGCATCGAGCGAAGTCATCGCTGCTTGCATCTTTGCTGGAAGGAGTCAGTTCGGTTTTCAGTTTCACTCCAGCGTGTTTAGTTCCAGCTATAAATGTCCCTCCATGAAGTTTATGAGAAGGCAGACTGAAGCTGACCCTTGTGAACATACTCCAGAGCTGTGGCGATGGTCCTCATGTCCATCTCTATACTGCGGGCCCAATTCTCCACATCCCCAATTTCCTGTTTAAAAGAGAGAATAGAAACAGAATTAGTACTACAGCTGTGTACATCCAGAAGAAACAGGCAGGCTTGAAACAACTTCAGGCAACTGTTCACCATGTCTCCCTTGGAAAGATGGTGTAACTGGATAACATCAGAGGAAGTGGAAACTCATTTATGAATTGCTTTTACCATCTGTCCAATCCACTCAGATCTATGGCCTGTGTTGAGGTCCTTTGAATAAACTAATCTGCTTTTAGTTTTGATTAGAAACGCCTATAATAGTCAACTGATGAATTAGATGATTGAAGAATAAACTATTTGGACGAATGATTAGTAAGTCAAATTAAGAAATGGCAGTAAAAGCAGTTTTCAGCCTCTTAAATAAGGAAATGTTATGCTTTATTAATAACATACAGTATTAAACTCAATATCCTTTTGCACTGAAAATATAAAGGGTATAAATATTTAAGTTAATCGTTGGAGTTTGAGAAAGTGGGATGGGCCTTTCTCACTGTTTCCTGAAATTGTATAGATCAAGCGATACATTGATTAATTAATAATGAAAATAATTGTTAGTAGCAGCCCTGGATTTGATGAGTACATTTTTTCAAATGTATTTGAGGTGCAAAGATGATTATAATAGTAGATATGATTGAATATGCATTAATCAATACTCATAATAAGTCAAAATGTAATTTAAATGAATGTGATACTGATTGCAAGAGCTGCTATTAGATATATGCTATGCCAACTTAGCAAAAAGCAATACAAAGTAAGAGCATTTATTGATATTACAGCAGTAGACTTAAGAAATGTACATTCATACAAAAATGATACTGTTTTAATGGTGGCAGATTACATAACAGAAAACCCCCGTTTTTGGATGAATTTCTTGCCAAGTGTGTCCTACCTTAAGGGCCTGATTGAAACCCTCCACCATACTGATCCACTGAGCCGTTTGTTTGGAGAACTGGCTCGCCTGCACCTGGAGAGTCTTCACCTCATGGTCGAGCTTACGCTGGTTTACATAAGCCTGGGCAACTCTTGAAAAGAGAAAACAACAATAAGAAGCTCTACATTGCTACTAGAACATGAAAATAAAGCATCATGTATTAATATAGCTATGGGGGCATGTGAGTGCACATTTGTGTTTGATAGTACAAAGACTAAGTCATAAACATCTCTGTTTATAATACAAACATACTGTAATATTCAAACTAGACTAAATCTTACAAAGTCACCAAAGGATTTTAGTTATAATCTTTTTCAAAAAAGAGCTGCAGCATAACAATGTTCTTTGCATACCAGTCAGTTTTTAAGCTGATTGTCCGGGTTTCTTCACAACTTTCACGATGTTAATAATCTTAAGAACTATTTGTAGTTGCGTCACACATAAAGCCAATTCTGCTCAGCTAATTATAGATTGCTTTATTTGAATGGCTCAATTGAAGGTGTTGGTTGATCAGCTTGACTGCAATATGTACCACAGTACCTCAAATGTATTTACCTGTGACTTCAAGAAGGACGCACGTTTAGATATGTCACATTTTGCAGAAGTAGCACATATTTAGTAACAAAATCTAAACTTTACTTTTTATAACACCTTTCAAAACTACCATTATAAATAATTCACTTTCTAGTTGAAAATGCGTTTTTTATCACAAGGAGTAAAGTAAGCATTCCTGTTACCAGACAAAATACTGTGGAGCCAACATTAAAATAATCTTCATCAATTGCATTTCTTGAGATGTTTATCGAACAAACAGGCTAAACATTTGTTGTTTATCCTTTCAAAACTGAGGATTTACTGACTAGTCTGTAAATTGAGTTGAATATATTTGGCTTTCAGACTAATGACTAGCTGTTAGAAAAATATCAAGTAGAAGGGAAAAATCAGTATACAATTTTGAGATTCTTGACTTTAGTATTTCCTTAGACTGCTTTGTTATACTTCTACCCACCAGAGGAACATTCACAAGCTACATAAGTATCATCACCTTTACTGGCTACTAGATTTCCACATTAATGAATTCATAATTGTATGCAATGTCTGAAATGGGCCTTTCTGCATAAAGAGTACTTTAACTTTTGATGATAATACTTTAATGCATTACTTAAGTAAATGATTTCCTTGTGACAGAGTATTCCTACTCTGTGGCAATTACTACTTCCCGTAGGCACAAGACGTACGTTTATTATTTATTTACTACCATCAACTATGAACTAACAATAGGAGTTTGCTAATCCCCAGGAAGTAAAAGGAGAAACTGCAGGGGGCTAGAAGCTAGGATTTCATACCCAACATTGAGATGGTCTACCAGGGCTTCTGTCAAACAGGTGGCCGCAGTGATAGCTTCACGCCTGCGTCTTTCTGTGCAAGCAAAAACATTAACAAAGACAAGAGAAATCCTCAGTAATATTAAAGAAATACGAGGCCTTCTGACACAACTCCGTCAGCTTTGTTTTTAGCATATGTTAGCATGACAGCTAACGTTAGCCACTCACTCACCCTGCTGCTCCTTCCGCTCATTTTGCTTCGCCTGGTGCTCCTTCAGCAGACGAGACAACATCTTCCGTCTTCGTTGAGATTAAGTGCAAATGTCTTTCTTTTTTTTAACTAGCTTAATAACATTGTTTTCCTAAACAGAGATGTTGGAGATGCTATCAGCTGACCGCTATCACGAGACCAAGCGCGAGAATTACAGGAGTAGGCGTGCCCAAACAAATGGCTTTAATGAAGGCGTCATTGATTGTAGTTAATCGAATATTATTTTTGTGTTCATTATTAATGCAACACACATGGAAGGAATTGCAACAGATGATGCATTGAAAGATAATAAACACTTTAAACGCATATAAGGGATTTATGAATTTGTTTTGCATTAATTTCAATATCAGTTTCGACGTCATTGCATTTCAGCCTTCAAAATAAAAGTTGTAATAATTAAACACTACTACTTTACATAATGCATCTAATGCTACTACTGCTACTACTACTACTACGACTACTACTTTTACTACTACTACTACTACTACTACTACTACTACTACTACTACTACTACTACTACTACTACTACTACTACTACTACTAAATGCAATCGAATATGTGGAACTAAATTGTTCAATGTATATGTATGTATATCATCATTATCCTTAGGACAACATAAAATATTCAATTGAGAACACATTTTTAAGGCACTCTTTTGTCATTATGAGTGTATGAACGAATACAGTGGCCATAACAAGTGTTTTATTTAACATAGAATCTTTGGACAAACCCTTATGAATATAATGCAATAGTGCACACATTGAAGGGAATTTGGGGATTACATCTCAAGGAAAGTGTACCTTGTGATGCATCATATTGATCCTCCACGTTAAATTCTGCAGAATGCGTGGCTGCATATATAGTAATGTTAAGTTTGAGTTTTGTTGTTTGCAAAAAAGAGATCAATATGTGTGTGCTCTAAAGATACCCTTTTATTGTGAAAAACTCCCGCCGGAAACACAAGTCTTGTTCTGGCTAGCGGAACACAGGGCTGATGGCAGGCAGCAACCTGTCAACAACCCAGGCATAGCTGGAACTAAAGTGTGCTGAGCCCTTTATCATCTGATTTTTGTCAGGTATGTTTATCTATTACTTAATTGAATGACAGAAAGGTGTTAAATGTCCTCGATGTAATGATCTTAGCTGCTCGGGGAGGCGGAGTGAGTTAGCATAACTAACGTTAGTTAATGAACGGTTAGCTTTAGCCTCGGTGTTCAGGACGTCGGCTAACAAAGTTGCCCCAGGTGGTGAAACTAATCCGTTTCTCTAATGTATTCACCAAAAACCTTAACATTATAGCAAATACTACATGTTAACAATGTAATAGTCAAAAACTGTTACCATACAAACGGCTAGAAGTTGCCTTGACAACAGATCCCCTGCTGGCTAACCCCCTGCTAACCTGACAGATAAAGCTATGATGCTTCAGTACGGACAGCAGGACCACGAACCCTCTTTGACAACATCAAGTCTATTATGCTTTTGAAATTGTATTAACCAACCCCTTTGAATAGTATTCAAACCACCGTCTTCCTGTTTAAGGGTATTGTCTAAGATTAGCAAACGGAGGTTCAGTGAGACTCAATATAGCAGTTAAAGATGGGACTGCCCGTTATGAAAGGTGCACGGCTGTATCTTCAAATAGCTTAGATTAAACTAAGTCACTGGTAACGTGCATTCTAGTCTAGTTTGTGTCTCTAAACATTAAGCTAATCGAAATTCTACATGCTCGGTGTAGAGTTGTAACATAATGTTGTTGACGATGTGTCAGACCAGATTTAGGCTATCAATAAATCAGATTGCCTTTTAATGGTACTATGTATTCAAAATGATGTTACATTTGGGTCCAGTTTAGTTGAATTGATACTATAAAGTGAATTCACCTGAAATGTTTGGCTTTTTATTGTGGATAAACATTTAATTTGAGTTGGCATCACAACATACATACTCTTTGCGTGTCTTCAGATACCTGAAACCATCATACAAACCTTTTGCTTTGGTTATAGATCCTCTTAAATCCATACTTCATATTGTATGTAAAGCCTGACTTGATGTTTCACCTACTCTAGCAACATAATAGCCTGATCACTCTGTAAGACTGCACAGTATCACATATTAATGTCTGATGTCGCTGGTTGCAGTTTTTGCAGGTCCCTTGGTGCAGCAAAACAAGACTGCAGTGTTATGGAAGAACCATGAAGGCCCAATTACAAGTCACTGGTAAGTTTTCATTAATCTATGCATGATTTGAGCAAAAATTAGGAAACAACAAATAGGAAATATTGGTAGAGGTTTAGTATTACATGAAGTTGTTCATAAGCAGCTACAGGCTATGATTATTTGTGAAAAATGCCTTATGTGCTGTCACTGTTCAGTACAGGGAGGCTAAAGGAGCTGGTGGTTGGTATTTTTATTTTGTTGCATCTTAATCAAATGAACCTTATGCTACATTCTGAACAAACCCTCTAAAATCTTAGTTATATAACCTACAATGTAAGTGTTTTTTTTTCATTCTAGTGCTTTCAGCCAAGCTTAAGGAAAACAAAAAGACCTGGTTTGGTCCCAGCCCTTACGTTGAGGTAGCTGTGGATGGCCAGTCAAAGAGGACTGAGAAGTGCAACAACACACACAGTCCTAAATGGAAGCAGGCTGTCACAGTGTGAGTATAACCTTTGTGTTTGTCATAGAAAATAGCTGACGTTATTAGATGATCCCTACTAGCAGTTCTGGTTATGGTGCAAACTTTCTGAGCTTGGAATATTGTGTCCATAAGAGAAAACTAAGTTCTTGAAGGGTAAATTCTAAATACATTTGATCTACCTGATTTTTAATTGTCACTGATTCAACAAAGTCCATATGCCCAACACTTATACCATGGTTTCTGTGCCACTGAAATAGGTTAAGGTCTCAACTGGTAAGACAAATAAAACACATGAGGGGTGTTTTATTAATAAAACTCTGCTGCATTAATAATAACAACACCGTTCTCAAAATCATAGATTGAACCCATATCAAAATCTTTTTATTTTTTCCACCACAAGCAAATTATTCGAAGACATTGATGTCAAAAACAAATGCAGGAATTGACACTTAATATTTGAATTAAATTACATTTGATAACAGAAATAAAACAGATGTCTCCAGAGAAGCGATAGCCCTATACAGTACATACATATTTGTTTCCATAATTCAACTATAACTACTTTAGTATTAATGCAGATCCTTCTTTATATTTTTCTCCAGTGTTGATGATGTTATTTTCTCACTTTACTACAGAATTGTCACCCCGGTCAGCAAGCTGATCTTTCGAGTTTGGAGCCACCAGACACTGAAGGCAGACATCCTGTTGGGAATGGCCATGCTGGAGATCAAAGAGAGCCTTAAAGCTAACGACCTGAAATGTGAGTTCACACTACTTTCTTTCTCTTCGGTGGTGTAATCTTGTGTTTTCTTGAAAATATTTTCTGTCAAACAAACAACATTTTGCTCCTAATTTGACAAAGTGTACATCTCAGTTTATTTGTCTTTAAACTTTCATCTTGGAAAAAATGTATTGTACAAGGGGCAGAGTACTTGTCTAATATTTCTAGGCTCTTGCGGTTGATTCCCACATAATATTATGAGTTAGTCAGAACAAAGGTCCCACCACATACCTTATCTATTTTAAGATAATAAAACATTGTATTCCTTATAATCTCCCTTTCAGTATTTGTATGTCTATGTCTATCAGCAGCATGTTTTACTTGGCAGATGTTTCACACACTGTAGACTCTATCTGTGTAGGAGTGCATATCAGCTTATTTTTGTTATGAGAATGATTTCTTGTGCTTTGATAAGCTTAACAACCAACAAGCACAGTACTCCCTAGGTTCTCTCTCCTGGGATTCAAGCCTCCCCTGAGCGTGTGACTGATTGTGTGTGTCTTATTGTTGGAGGGCTTTACCAGCTCAATACAATGGCTCACTTTGTCTTGTGCATTCCATTTGACATAAAAGTCTGGTCTATATTTAGTATAGCTGATACTAAACACGATTCATAAACGTTGAATCCATTATGAAAAGCCAGCCAATGGAGTCCTCTTAGAGAAAATGGCTCTTGTGTGTGCATTGGTGGCAGTTTATACTTCCTCTGACAATCCTTAGCATCATCTCTTTTGTTGTTGTTGTTGTTGTTGTTGTTGTGAAGGGTCTACAGTATGTGGGTGTTTGTCAGATGAGTGTAGCTGAAGCATAATGACACCTTTGCACATTTTCATCTCCTTTCAAACACTGTTTCTGTCCCCTCCCCAGTGTGTGAGGTGGTGCAGACGCTGCCGCTGTGCTCTGACCGAGACTCTCGGGATGTTGTTGGCGACCTGTCAGTCTGTCTGGATGGCATGCAGGTAGACCCAGAGACCCTCGCCACTGCAGAGAGAGAACATGGTAAGAAAGCACACACACGCACAAATCCACCGACAATACACAGATCTGCAGAATTGTATTAAATCATCTGTTAGTGTGACATGTTCCCTTTTTTTCCCCTCATCGTATTTATTTAACAATCATATCTAGTTAGAATTGTCTCAGTGTCAGAGTTCTTTATAGAGCCTGGCTACTAAACCGAACCAGCCGACCATTGGCAGTTACATAGTTTACTTTCCAGAATGCACCAAGAAATACGATTCTACTTTAAAAAAAAAAAGTGAAATATGTAACCACATTTGCGTTCTTAGCCCCTTGCAGCAGATAAAGAAAAAAATGGTTTCAAACCCAAGTTAATTTGAATATATGTTGTCACTTGTCATCTGTTTCTTTGTTACTCTAGCTGCTCTTCCAAATGGAAACGCAAGGCAAAATGGAGACACTGGCAACAGGTTCAGTAAACTTTCATTTATAATCCGATTTATGCTATTTGGGAAAATGTTGTGTTTACTCATAGAAAATACTAATTGTATCCCTATCAAGTAACTTAAGAACATATCTTGATCCCCAGGTCAAGCAGGGACACATCTCCCTCCAGTGACTCAGAGGAGTGGGTTATCGTACCTAACGGTCATCCTGCCAATGGTACAGGGTCTCCTTCTCGATCTCCAGGGGACTCCAACGCCTTGCGTCCTCCCAGACCAGCCCGAGCCCCTCCTCCTACGCCTCACAGACCTACAGCCTCACCAAGTAGGAAAAGCACAAGAAATCAAAGACTTATCAATATAACCAGTCATTCTACTTTTTTAAATAGCATTGCTTTTTTTTATGTACAGAAACAGTGTCTGAGATAGACATCTGTTCACAGACTTCAATGTTTTTTCTACCATCCTCCCACTCTTCTATACAGCCTCTTCTAGCAGTTCCTCCCCAAGCGAGCTGAGTGAAGCTCCAGCTTCCGATGGCTCCTCCCAGGCGTCAGCTAGTGGCTGTTTAAATCAGCAGGATGACTCAGCAGCAGCAGCAGCAGCAACATCAACATCAACAGCAGCAACAGCTACTTCACAGACAGCAGCTGGACCCAAACCAGCAACATCTGCCACAGCAGCTCCAGCCTCAGCAGTTCCGGCCACAACAGCTCCCAGAATCACACCCATAAACAACGGCCCCTTACCACAAGGGTAAAAGAGCAAGGCACTTCACCTGGTCCTGCAAATCTAATTTTAGACTGCAGCCTCTTTATGACGTTTGAATGTGAATGATGTGAAAAAAAACATAGACTCATACAAAAATACCTTCTCTTTCTCATCACTTATGACTAACTAAAAGCGAGTTGGTGTCTGTATCTGCAGATACCCTGTATTTCATTATTATTACTGCTTTATTTGTGAAGTGTTGGGGTGTCAACCTCTATACAAACGTAGCAACAAAGTGCTAGATCGTAACATCATCCATTAGCAAGCTACAGAATTGGTGGACACTGAAAATATAGCTTGTTTCCAACTGTGAGAAAGCACTCTAACCTTAACTGCAGTCATGGGGGTGCTCTTCTGTGGTCGTTGAGCTAGGGATGAGGTGCAAGCCTTACATCTTTTGTTAACAAACTGTCTAGACAATACAAATAGTTTTCATTCTGCCTTTTTAACGAATTGTGTTTTTCAGTGACAGAATCAGTTATCAAAATGTGTTTCCTGTGCTTGGTCTTTGCTGACTCATCTTTCTCTGCAGATGGGAGCAAAGGGCAGACCAGAATGGACGGGTCTACTTTGTGGATCACATTGAGAAAAGGACAACCTGGGAAAGGCCTGATCCTCTTCCTTCAGGGTACCAACACACTGGATCATATGTTGTACTATGAGTGCTAACATGGTTACAATTCAATCAGAACACTTTTGCTCTTTGATATTCTTTAACAAATGTTCCCATCCAACCTCTCTCCTTTCTCCGCAGGTGGGAGCGCAGGGTGGACCCGATGGGTAGGGTGTACTATGTCGACCACATTACCCGGACGACTACGTGGCAGCGGCCCACGCAGGAGTCGGTGCGAAACTACGAAGAGTGGCAGCACCAGAGAAACCAGCTGCAGGGAGCCATGCAGCAGTTCAACCAGAGGTTCATCTATGGGGTGAGTGCAGGCCCTGTAGTAGCTTCTGGATAAGGGTACATCCACACATTGCTTTGATTTACTTAAGAATCCCGTCCATTCATGGTTAATGAACTATAGAAATGTTCTGCTTCGAACAATAGTTTGTCTGATATGATGTTTCAAAAAGATCCTGTTTTTAGGAATATGCATGATAAAATAATGTCTTTATTTGTTGAATGGGAGGCTGTGGCGCAGTGGGTTAGTGCGTTGGTGTTCGGATCAGGAGAGCATAGGTTCAAACCCCACTGCAGTCAGCATGTCGTTGTGTCCCTGGGCAAGACACTTCACCCCAAATTGCTCCTGTGGGGATTGCCCGCAGTATTGAGTATGTAAGTGGCTTTGGATAAAAGCGTCTAACAAGTAATATGTAATGTAATGAATGGAGATAGATGGTGTGCATAAAGAAACTGCACCATCACAAGATGAATCTGTGTAAACAGATTATTACTGAACAGTATACACTGTACCATAATATGCAGTAGAGTTTTTATGTTCTCTAAATGTTTTACTTGCTACAAAACCTAGTAAAAAAAATAAATAAATAAAATGAAGTAACCATCATTTTCAAGTTACTTAATTTAACTGGCATGCACTCCAAAAGTCACACCTATTACAAATGTTTTGTTTGCTTCAAATAGAACACACAACTAAAATAAAAGCATTACCACCTCAATGTCACGCAGCGTCCACACGGCGGCGTGCGTTGAAGCTCG